TTTACTTTAATGGATTTAGTCACTGTTAATTAAATTTGTGCTATGCATGACTTCGATTCCTGCCATATAGTAGTTTTGTGCATGTTCTTGGGTATCATCTGTGATTGGAATTTGTAACTTTTTTATAGCTCAAACGAAAGCATGTCTGCTCTTTGGTTGATGTGCTAAACCAATTTTTGTAATTTTTTTTCTCCTCTTGATGCAACTTTCTTTGTTAAAGAAGTATGAGAGGGAAAGAAAGGCTGCTAATCTCACTATGATGGTTATTTCGATGTCTTCCAGAAGGTCTACTTGATGGATTTTGCACCACTAAATTTCTTGAGGGCTGTTGAATTTCATGGCGCTCAATTTATTACTCCACTAAAAAGAAATATAGTTTCCTATGACATGGGCGAGCAAAAATGGCCTCTTTTCATATAAGAAGCAAAGAATGTGGAAAGGAACGGCTCAAAAAGTTGGGTAGGATTTAATCTGAGATAAGAATGATTGAGCATTTCTTACTTTTTAAATTTTGATTTTCCTAGTATATGTTGAATTTCATAGCTCTTCCTTCTGTGTTTTTAGAAACTCGAACTTAGAACAATATTTTTCATCAGTTGGCACAATTATTGTGGAAGCTATATTGAAGTTATTTCACAGGATAGTGAAAAAAATATTGCCATTGTGAGCTTCATATGAGAAACTCCTATTAAGGTTGGCTGCAAGTTCCTTCTGGTTATGGTGCTATACTCATTATGTCTATTCAAGCTTTTAGCCTGTTCACAGTGGTTCTTGGTTAGGATAGGTTTTCATTCTTATGCTTCTCAGATGCACTACGGGTCCTGCTCCACTTACATGGCTTAATACCAATATGCTTTTATTTTCCATCTCTTCTTCCTTCCACTTTTGGTCTTCATTAATAAATTCCCCCAACATTATGTCCGCAACTTTCTCCACATTAAGAAATGTAGGCCACTTAGCTAAGACTTTGTTTTGAAACCAGACATCATTCATTGTATTAATCCCCTTGCCACCATCCACTAGAATCTTCCAAGTTTTAGAAGTATCCCACACTTTCTGTCCACTCCAAACATCAGTCCCATATTTTGATTTAACAATTCTATGTAGAAGATTTTCTGGACAACACACGAATCCCCATGTTAGTCTAGCTCTCAAAGGGCCTCTCCATTCAACAGGATCATGGAAGCCCAATCCCCCGAGCTTCATAAGTCTGCATATCTTATGCCAGGGAACATAATGGCAACCATCCTTCTCACTATCCTTCTGCCACAGAAACTTTCTAGCAAGCCTAGAAATTTCAGCTAGCACACCTTTGGGAACTAATGAGTGAGTCATAAGATACATAAGGATTGTGAGGAAAGAGGTTCTAATCAAAGTTTCTCTTCCTATTAAGGAAAGAAACCTCCTTCCCCAAACCCCTAGTTTCTCCCTAGCCCCTGTTATAACCTTGCCAAAATCAATAAACACCTTCACTGCTATAAAACCTAGCAGATTAGTAGTCCCCCTCTGCTTCCACACATCATATGCTTTTCTAAACATAAGAGCAAATGTTTTAGAGTTAATTCTTTGGCCCATCCATTTGCAATGGAAATCATGCTTTTAGTCTTTGTGAATGAAGTTAGGGTGGCAAAGATTTTTTTTCTTTTATTCATACAATATAAGATACTATTTAATTTTAATAATTCTAAATCAAGTAGCTCGATAAGTTTTTGAGTTGAGTCAAGCTGAGCTAGAACTTGAGCTTATATAATATATGAGCTCGATTACATGCTCGAGCCCAAACTCAAAGCTGGACAAGCTCGACTCGCGAGCTCGTTAACAAGCCAAGTTTTAGCTAGCTCACAAGCCGGCTTGACTCACTTACACCCCTAACATATATTGTGTACAATTATATAAACAATGTAGATTATTATTTTATATTTTTACATAAAAAGGCGTATACTAGTTCGATCCTAATTTTTTCTATTTTCTCAGACCAATCTTTATGGTTAACCCATTTGACATGCTCATCCTTAATAACAGCTTTCATATATTTGCACGTGAACATGCCACAATACAAACTATTTTTTGGGTTGGCACATCAATCACATTCATAATATGTCATTCTCGTATGTCATCATCAAAAGATCCAAGTGTTTCCTTATATAGGTGCTTTATCTAAAGGAAATAACAAAATCATATTAATAAGACAGTTTAATTGTTTAAAATTTTTAAAGCAAATTTTGTATCACTCACTATATTACTCAGGATAACCATGTGCATATGGTCGAGGAGCGAATCAAAGAAATGCCAAACTTTTTTTGAGGCCTCCCTACCAGAAGAGTCTAATGCTAATTATTGATAACTTGCTATGTACTGGTTGTATAAAGTGTTCAAATAAAATAAGTATCCATAAAATTACTCATTTCCTCGTATCCATACAATTACTCATTTCCTCAACAATCAACTCCCTGCCTGTAAACTTCATCGTTGTGCTTGCAGGGGCAACCACATAACGTACTAATTTTACTTGGATGATTTTTTTCATATTTGTGTTTCTTTGCAGGTGGCTCCTTTCCCTAATTTTCCTTCCTTTTTCTCTTCATATCAGCCCCTTTGATCAACTTCATGGGCTTAAGCTCAATAATTGTGCTTGAAATAACAACAACTTCGGGTAATGATTCTACCTTGATATTTTCTTCATATTTAAGTTGTTTGTAGGTAGCTCCTCTGCTTGATTTGCCTTGCTTTTTTTTTCTTCTTGTCAGCCTCTTTGATCAATCTCATATGCTTAAGTTGAGTTGTTATGCTTGCTAGAATAGCAACTTCAGGTAACTTATCCACCAGGATGATTTCTTGAGATTCATATTCTTTTGCATGTGGCTCATCTCCCTCAATTTTCTTCCTTTTTCCCTTCTTTTCACCTACTATGAATTATGATTTAATGGCCTTCTTCACTCTGAAGCACCTTCTCTTCACATAAACAACTATAGTACCCAGTATTGTTATATAGAATACACCCAAGTGTTCCTCTCTAGTAAACTTTGTTGGTACATGAACTTGTTGAGGCCCTGAGTATTAACAAAAGTAGTGGATTCTTGGGCCAATACCTCAACTTGTACCTCACTTTAAGTGTTGTCGACAACAGTGGATTCTTTGGGTTGCACCTTAACTTGGTATTTACCCTGAGTATTGTTAACAACAAATGATTCTTGGGATTGTTCCTCAACTTGTTTACCTTGAGTATTATCAACAACAATGGATTCTTGGGATTTTTCCTCAAATTGTTATTCACCCTGAGTATTATTGACAGTAGTGGATTCTTGGGGTTACTCCTCAACTTGTTGTTCACCCTGAGTATTGTCCACAATAGTGGATTTTTGGATCGGTACCTCATCCTGAGTGATGTCAACAAGATTGGATTCTTAGGACGTTACCTGCTCTTATATTATACGATGACTATTTTCAAAAACACTTAATTCTTCACTCTTTGTGTATAACTTTGCCACCCAACCCTCAATATGTGCAACTTTCTCTTCAATATGGGCAACTTTCATTTCAAGCTGCCTAACCCTTATGCCAAGCTCCATGCCAAGTTTTCCCATATCATTTATAAGAGTATTAAATAATGTACTCATTTTAATGTGTATTTGAGTGAGTTGCTAAAAGATGCTAGCATCGGCATAAGTGGAGGTTGGGCTGGAAAATATCTCAATGGGAGATGGGACTTACTGTGTAGAATGAGGGATTTAGGTCAAGAAAGACGAGATAAGTTGTGGGATTATGAAAAATCAAAAATCTGCACATAAGTGAGCCCATTGTTAGTTGAAGCATGACTACTTGAGTTTATTAAATTACATATCCTATTATGTAATGGGGAGAAAGTATACTTGGGCACCCTTGAGTTGATTAAATAATTCAAAGACTTGAATGGTAGTATATAAAATTTTCTTATCCCAACAAAGAAAACATGATCTTGAGTTACCCATTATTGGGGCAACAATGAATGTGTGCTGCAGAAATCAAATATGTATATGTTCAAGACATAACATTAAAACAAGTAATACTTAAAGAAACTATATATGATGTGACCACTCACCATCAACAAAGGTACAAATCCACTCATATAAGCTAGTGGGATATCATCAACAAACTTCTTGATCTTCCCATCAAACTGAGAAACTAAGAAACTCTTAATGGCCCTTGCGCAATTGTACCTTGAGCACTCATCTATTTACTTGACAATCCTAATGAGCCTCCTTAAAATTTTGTAGTTATTTATGGGAAAAATAAATTGTACAACATAAATATTATGAACTTATTTATAATAAGGGTAAGGAGGCTCAATCTGTTGATGCTTTTCATCCATTTTTTAATGTCAATCATAGAATATTTTATTAGTGGCTCATTTTCCAAGCATATTGCTTCACCTTTTAGAAATCTGGCAATTAAAGTCACTTCATCTATAGCAAATCGAAGCTCATGCCCTTGATCTTGAAGGTGTGCCTGCTCACATCCCAAATTGACAGTAGCATGCAAATCATGGGTGTCTTCTACTGAAATGGAGGGATCTAAAAAAACTAAAATATGTGCAACTTAGTTAAAGCGTCCTCAACTTCATTACCAAATATCCCTGCCACGGAGTGGAAGATAGCTCTAAATATTAAGGATCTGCAATGAAAAGTGATATTTGGGGTGTACATCTATACTATGAAAAATGTTCAATATATATATTTTTTAGAATGTGTTATGTTACACACACCAGTGTATAAATTGTGCACATGGATTACACAAGCTTATACATACCCATTGTACAAGTTGTACATAGGGTCTGTAAAAGAGAAATTTATACACGTTGTGTACAAGTGCAGAATGTATTAAAAATAAGATGTTGACCAAATATACCCAAGTGTATCTATGTCCCCAACATAAGATGTTGACCAGATATGACCCAAGTGTACCCAAGTATATATTAAAAATTCATATATACAACCTTTAATCATTGTATCACGATTTAATTGGAGCGTCCCACTCCACACTAATAATTTCTCCGAAAACCTACTTGCTGCCAAACAGCCGATTAGTCTTTCGGGCTTTTCACCGCTTGTACCACTACATTCCGAATCCCTAACGCCGCCGCCGTTCCTTCAGTCACATTTGATGATGGCCCGGGTCCACGCCTCCTACGCTGACTTCACGCCGACTTCGTTGGTTTCACGTCGCCTCCGCCGGTTTCGCCCTTCCTTCACTGGATTCACGCTTTCGTCGCCGCATGTTCACCTCCGCCTCCTTATGCACTCAACTTCACACATATCAACGTCGCCGTCACCGAATTCTTCGCCGCTGCACTTTTATAAGGTGGTTCTACATTTTCTCCTTTTCGCAGGAGTAGGCAACGTCGATGAGTTGCTCTTCTAGCTCAAATATGTAGGCGAGCTCGATCGATCGATCGATCTTTTTCATCATTTGAACTCATCGTAATGAATGTCCATTTCCAAGAAAAGAAATATCTTGAATCCTTTTTTGCTGTCAGATTGGATTTATTTTGTTCATTTTAGTGTTTTAGATCTTTGCATTTAGTAATGATGCAGATAAGAATCGTACTCTTTCGTTTTTGCTGATTGTAAGATCTACATGATGCTGCTTTTTGTTGTTTATGTGAGTTTTTTTTGTCATATTCACTAATTATTATATCTCTTCTGATTGGGTTTCATGCAGTCTATGAAAGGCCAAAGCACATTCTTATCAGGATGCGATGATAGTGGTGAGTTCATTTATGAAAAGCACATTCTTACTCTCTAATCTTTAACTTTACTTAAGCTATGATAATCTCAAGTTTTAATCTGATGAGTGGCTTGTGTTGGATTATGAGAGCAAAATCGTTGAGCAGTATATTTTTAGTTCCTAAATGTATTTGCCTAATTTTTAGTTTCAACGGAGAGGCCATGGAAAACTAGTGATGCTAGGCTTGTGCTCGAAGATGGATCTGTATGGATGGCCAAGTCATTTGGTGCTTCTGGAACACAAGTTGGCGAAGTGGTGTTTAATACATCTTTGACAGGGTATGCTAACTTTGTTGTTGTTTTATTATTATTATTATTATTTGAGGGCATAGGCCTCGGATATGACCTATACATAATCATTGCTGCAGCTTTCCTTGCTGCTAGCTCTTCCCTTTTATTCCTGTCATCACAACCGGCTTAGTTGTGATCTGTTCATTCTAGAATCTAATGCATAATCATGGCATTTGGCATAGCAACATTTTTTATTGCATAGACTATAACGCGATCATTAAAATAATCATACATCTGATATTATAAGCAGAATCATCATATTTGAATATCATTCTCACCATGTATCATAATATAGGGTGACAACTTTTGAATTACATCATCGATCATAGCGGAAAGTGATATAGCTTTTGAATTATATCATGTAACATAGCTTTGAATCCATTGAAAATAACTATAAATTCCATCTTTGTAGCCTTAGAGAGCTTGACTTAAACCTTACCCTTTTACTTGTTGATATTTTCCGGGCAAATGATGGCAAAATTTTCTTAGTAATAAACTAATATAAAAAAAATGAGGACATAATTCAAAGTGAAATCTTGTATTCCATTATGATAGGAAAATTGAAAATCATTACAATTTTATTAATCTATTTTGCATTTTTTGATAATATTGGATAACGTTTTCATTGGGAATCAAATCAAATACATCTTTTTCAACAAAAGACACAAGACAATCGTTGAGCCAATCATCACCCATCCTACTACGCAATCGATATTTGATAATTTTCATGGCTGAAAATGCTCTCTCCACTGTAGCAGTAACAACTGGTAAGGTTAATGCTAAAGTAATAAATCTGTAAACCAGTGGATACACACCATTCTTCTTGAACTTAACAATCTTCTTTGCAAGATCAGCAATGCTTCCTAGAGAGGAGAATTCTTCACTGGTCTACATATCGATAATGTACGTTGATAATTGACTTTTAAGAGCAACAACCTCAATTATAAAAAAATCACTTGGATATAACTCTGCTAGACATATTAATTTCTTCTCATCATAAGCACAAAAAGAATCACAGAAGTAACTCAGCACTTGATTCAAAAAATGATTATTTAGCTCTTGAAGTTGCATGTCAACTACTGTATAAAATAGATCAACACGATAATGATATAGATTTATTTTATCTTCACCTCTTCGCACTGATCGACCACGAATTTTGTATGTTTCATTCATGTTTAGAACAACAACTTCAAAAACACCACAAAACGTAACACTTCATCTAGTAAAGCATTCCATCCATTCTCCCTTAAAAGTTGCAGTCGTTGTTTAGAAATTTGAACCAATTTCATCGCATTTTCAATGTCTTGATTTTTTCTTTGCAATGATTGTGATATCTCATTCGTAATGCCCAATATATTAATCATCAAATGCATTGTAAAAATAAAATCAAAATACTCCATTATATCAATCAGAACACCCGCTTCAACTGATTGCTGATCATGAACCCCTTCTTCCTTAACAATCTCTAGCACCTCGATCACAGAAGCATATATATGCATAAGACTAATCAGAGAATGGAAATGTGAACTCCAACGAGTATCACTAGATTTCTGTAAATTTGTCTCTTGATTCAAACCTTTGCCACTTATGATATTTCTATTTTTAAGATGAAGAAGTACTTTCTTATGCTGAATACTTTTAAGAGCATCTGATCTCTTACAAGAAATCTCAATAGTATTAATTATTCTAGAAGTGAACTCAAAAAGACATTTTACTTGCCAATGATTTTTTGTCACTGCTACCAAACATAATTGAAGTTGATGAGCGAAACAGTGAACATAAAATGCTTGAGGATTATCATTTAGAATAAGGGCCTTTAAACCATGAAAATCCCCTCGCATATTGGATGCTCCATCATAACTTTGACCACGTATCCTTTGTATACTCAACGAGTGTTTGACTAGAATGTCTTCAATTGCTGCCTTCAGTTTAACTGCATTAGTGGATGTGATATGTTTGATGCCTATAAATCTTTCAATCACTTGGCCCAATTTATCCACATATCTCACTGCAATAACAACTTGTTCTTTCGTAGAAATATCGCTGGATTCATCAACTATATGTGAGAAGTATGAGTTACTAATATCTTTCATTATATATGTTAAAGTTTGAGCTGATGCAGTAAAACATATTTCTTTCTTGACTATTGGTGAAGTTAACTTCAGATTTGAGCTAGCATATGCTGATGTCACTGTCTTAATTTCCTCATTATGATTAGCTAGAAAATCAAATAGCTCTAAATAATTTTCTCGATTATCTGAATTGAAAGACTCATCATGCCCACGAAATAATAATCCGTGACGTAACAAAAATCTAACACAATCAATGGCTGCAATCAACATGATCCTATGTTGTTTTTTGTTCTTATCATCTTTGCTTAACCATAAAGCTAGAACAGTGTTCTTGGTTCTTCATCAAATCTTCACATTTTTGTCTAGCTTTATTATGTACACTATTGTGATCTCCAACGTGACATAATAATTTTTCTTTCTTCTTCCAATTTTTGAAACCTTCTCTTATAAATGAATCCCCACCACCTTTACCTTTAATAATCTGCTCTTGAGGTTTAAATAGATAACAATAAAAACAAAAAACAGCGCCTTTCTACACACTGTACTCTAACCAATCAGAGTATTCATCAAACCATTTCGAATTGAACATACGTGCAATATTTTCATATAAAGTTTGGGGAAATTGATGACTTCTCGGTTGATGGGGTCCCTTCAATATATATGATCTCCGAATCTTATCTCTATCATTTACATCATAACTCCAAATAGGAAGTCAGAGTCCTGAATCTGCTGAAAGATTGTTAATATCAATTTCTATTCACTCTTTCCTCTTTAAATAATGTTCCATTTACCTAAACTCTAAAATGAAATTTATTATCAAAGAAGAGCAACCGTCAATCAAAATATTTACATCATAACAAACAATGAAATGCTAGTAAAATCAAATAGCAAATCAACAATTCCAGAATTATTATCATGAGAATCTCTTCTAGCATTTCTAACACAAAACTAGAATTTTTTTCTAACCGTTTCAAGTTGCATTATGTCAATTCATCGAAGCATCAAAAAATATAGTCCTCATGGTTTAAGTGTTTGGATAGAAGATGATTCAATTACATAAATTATATATGCTGAGCTCCAAATTTTATTGGCAACAATGCTACATGTCTCAATGCCACAGAGCTGTTGCTATAGCTATGACATTATTCATAATGACATTTTTTTATGGCAACAATGCTACATGTCTCCAAATTTTATTGGCAACAATGCTACATGTCTCAAGTTTCATTCTCCAATTGTGTTTTTTATACTAAAGTAACATAATTCTGTCAAACTAACTACCAAAAATAATAATAATAATAATAGTAATTATTCTTTTATTGAAAGGAAATTAGATCAGTTTATCACTATCAGGATGGGGGATGGCGGCTGCAATGCCTGCAACAGATCAGCCTTTATGGAAATGAAATAAGAAGAATATAGATATAGCAAAAAAATGAAGAGCCACCATGATTGATGATTCCATGAAAATATGAAATACCACAAAGCACACATCATTTCGGTATGAAAATCCAATAAAATAACATAAAATCAAACAAAAAATAACAAACAGAACAATCAAGCAATGTGTTCAAAAATCAAAACTAACCTAGATCTCCTGATGTCGGAGGCCCTTGCGATGCACGAACTGACCCGACAGCGATAGGCGGACGTTTCCCTCCCCAAGCAAACAAATTTCCTACCGCAAGTAGTCGACCAACTTGGCGAAATCCAATCTCCAGAGCCTCCTCTTGTGCGAACTTCTTTCGTTGTTTTTTCGTGATTTCGGCGGATTTAACCAAATAATAGTTCCACCCCTGGTCAATACATCCCCTGTCAATACAAGTAGGACATAGCTCACATGCCGATTATTCACAATAAATAAGCAATTGTGAGATTTGGTAAGACAATTTATAGATAAAAGGTTACATGTGAGATATATAAAATATAGTCTTAAGTCAATGAGGATGAATGATCTAATCCTTTTCCTCCAATCAAAAAAAGGAGAGAAATTAATCACAAAATAGAAAGAGGCATCATGATAGGTGATAAAATTATTCATCAGTTACCTATCAAATGAGAAGCACCAGAATCTAAGATCCAATATTTAATGGAATGAGCATTTGCACCACTTGGCAAATATAACGAACTTAATAAACTGATGTTTTCCTACACTAACAATCGGTAATCTTACATAAAAGATAACTTTTTTTAATTCCAACATGATCCTTCTTACACCTTCTATAAAGAGGAAACTGACTAAATAGTAAATGCTGTTCTCTTTTAAAATTGCATTCCTAAATCTGCAATTGTTAGGATATTTCAAGTTTTAATAGCCCTCAATATTTGGAGGTAGCTAATCTGAAAATATTATTATCCAGGTATCAGGAAATTTTGACAGACCCCAGCTATGCTGGGCAGTTTGTTTTGATGACTAATCCTCATATTGGAAATACTGGTGTTAATTTAGGTGGGCTAACTTTTTTTCTAATCTAATATCCTATGATTCAGTCAGCTCGCTTAGCATTTTCAGAAATATATTGCTTGCCATACTTCCCTGCAGATGATGAAGAGTCAAATCAATGTTTCCTTGCTGGTTTGGTTATTAGAAGTATTAGCATGTGGTGAGCTTTTATTTTCGTTTAATTTTTAATCATGCAACATGAAATTATTTTGTTGTCTGATTTATTGCATGAATTATGTTTTATGAAGCACTTCAAATTGGAGGTGCAGGGAAGCTCTTGGTGATTACTTGAAAAAACAGAACATCATGGCTATATGTAAGTGAAAAATAGAATATTGTTTGTCTCTGTAACTTAGCAACTTAGTATTCTTGTGTTTCGTCAATGGAGCAGATGATGTGGATACTAGGGCAATTACTCGCAGGCTTAGAGAAGATGGGAGTCTTATAGGTGTCTTAAGTACAGACGAATCTACAACAGATAAAGAATTGATAGAGATGGCCCACAAATGGAAAATTGTTGGTAGGTTTAAGTGCTTATTCATGTACTTGTTAGTCTTGCTTTTAGATCTTGCAAGTTGGAAGATATCCATGTTTTCCTACATAAATGTTTTGACGACTTCCCTTTGTTTAATTCACCTTTGTCCTTGATGCTTGATTGATTTTCAGACAATAGAACAAGTTGGGCAGTTTTCCTGCAACTGTTATAGGACAAGAATGCTAAAACCTATTTATATTTTAGGAGTTGATTTGATCAGTGGCATCTCATGTGAAGCTCCATATAAATGGTCAGAAAAAACTGATTCGGAGTGGGAGTTCAAAACAGGAAGTGATCATCGTGAAGAATTTCATGTTAGTACTATGGCGTTCATGACTGATAGCATATTTTGAGAGTTAAAAGTTCATTGTCCAATTGCCTTTTAGTTTACTTTTGCAGGTTGTTGCATATGATTTTGGGATTAAACATAATATTCTAAGACGTTTGGCTTCATATGGATGTAAAGTAACTGTTGTCCCATCAAAATGGCCTGCTTCAGAGACATTAAAGTTGAATCCTGATGGAGTTCTATTTAGCAATGGTCCAGGAGACCCAGCAGCAGTTCCTTATGCTGTGGAAATAGTTAAAGACATAATTGGTAAGGCTCCAGTGTTTGGAATTTGCATGGGTCACCAATTACTGGGACAAGCATTAGGTGGCAAGACATTTAAAATGAAATTTGGTCATCATGGTGGAAATCATCCTGTTTGCAACCTTCGAAAGGGATGCATTGAGATTAGTGCCCAGGTTTAATTTCATTATAGTTGTCCATTCTTTACATATTTGGCTTTTCCTTATTCACCGCTTCTTAAGCGTGCATTTCTTTGGATATGATTTTCATGGTTGACAGCATTTTCTAATATATTTTCTGTATGGTTGGTTTTCTCTTGTTTGTCTTTTCCCAGATATTTTTCTTAAAGTTGGTGCTAGCGCAAATTATTGAATGAGGAACTTAGAATTAACATTTTTTTGCCATATATTGCATTGAGCTTTTGATTATTTATTAAATTTTATTGTTATGACCACATTAAAAGTGTTTTCTTATTAGAAATCTATAGAAAAATACTTTCATTTGTGTCATTAATAGAAGCACCAGCAAGTCATATAACAGTAGCTTTCATGATTAGAAGTTTTTCAAACACAAGATAAACTCTTGATGTAGCTTGGAATTGGAAGGGGATGGTAAAAAATTTTAAAGCTGCCTGTATATAGTTGAGATAAGATTAAATGTCTTAGAATGTAATATTTTTGGGTCAAAATGAATCTTAAATCATTGAATTTGTTTTCAAGATAAGAACTAAATTGGTCCCCTAATTTACTTTAAAGGATCAAACTATATGAAAGTATCAATTTGATCCCTTGACTCTTTAAATAGAGAGCGACCAAATAAATCCTTTTGTGAGATCATTTAGGCCCCTATTCAAGAGACTGAAATAGAATTACTAAATAGTTGGGGATCATTTTGATTCTTCATAAAGAGTCAAAAGGATTATTTTGATACTTCATTTATTTTCAGATAATTGTATTATATAGACAATTCATCTCTAAATGAATCTATTTACTTTGAGACTCATACATTCATGCTTAGAGCCTTGTAGTGTTGCATTTTGATTGCACAAATTTTCTGGTAAACTTGATAGTTTGTGTTCATGCTTATTTGTCTTGGCTTTTTGGCAATCGAGACAGATTATTTATTATCATAATTTGATGTTCTGAGTTTATTATATTTTGGGCAGAACCATAATTATGCTGTGGATCCTGCCTCACTTCCCCCCAACATTGAAATGACGCACATAAATTTAAATGACAATAGCTGCGCTGGTCTCCGTTGCCCTGAGCTAAAAATCATGTCTCTACAGTACCATCCAGAGGCCTCTCCTGGTCCTCATGACTCTGATCTAGGTAAGTTGGATGAATATATTTATGGAAAATTTATTTGATTAAGATTGGCTTTATGATTATTATATTTATTTTAAGATAAGAATAATATAAATTTTGATTAGGGTTTAATCATATACAAATATGATGATTATATATACAGTAGTTGCAATGCTTTATTGAATTTGAAATTGGCATTCATTTTAATATAAAGCTGCTAACTGTTTGCAATTCATTGCAGCCTTTCGGGAGTTTATACAGCTAATGAAGAGTTCTAAATCCTAAAGCATATCCAAGAAATTTCTGTTTTATGATTTAATTTTGCTGCTGAGTGAAAGAACAAAGAGATTTGATGGTGTGTGTTTCATGTTGGGATTGTTATGGAAACTAATAATTGTGTGTTGGCCTTGAGAAATTTGTTCTTTGTTCAGTTTGGTTAATTGAAATTCAATCCATTTAACCAAGTAGCTTAAGCACACACCAATGTTGATCATGTGAAGCATTGCCATTGCTTGCATGATACTCTATTTTAAAATAATATCAAAAATATAATTTTCCTCTTTCTCCTCCTATATTTATAAATTTTTATTGTGCTTTTACTGTTTACAGAGATAAAATTGGATGATTTTTTTTGGTGTCTGATTTCTCCACTAGATGGGGGATGCTAGTGCTATCTTCTTCAACATGAAGCCGGAGTGGACCCCAATTATTATTAAAAGAAACTTTAATGGCATAATTCAAATAAGTTAAACTATCCAAAGAGGTTCCAATGCTGCTTAAATCAAATGAAGGTTATACCACTAATGATTTTTAAAAATGCCACTATTGTCAAATTAAAGAGAACAGTAACCATGAACTGCCTAACCCTTTACATCATATATATTTGTTAACCCTAGCCAATCAACTGTTGGTTCATTCATATTAGTGTTCGCATTGAACCTAACTCAACAACATTAATTAGTAGGCCAATGAGATCTATTTAAGAAACTTTAATAAAATCTTCATTGCATCATATTAAGAGTTTTATTTATTTATTTAATAAAGAAATATTATTTTAATATTTTCTAACTAAATCTTTTTAGATCTATCTCTATCTTTCTTGACATGAATCAAATTTAATATTTACTATATGTGATTTTATGACAAACCAAAATCATATATATATTTATGAGCGCCAATTTTGGAATTGTTCAAAGTTTATCATTAAGCAATTATTTTGCTTATGCCATCATGCCCTAAATCATGATCGCTCATGATTTATTGAGGAGATTGTCACGATGAAGGAAACTCGTGCATCGTAGAAGGCACATACCTAATTATCACAGTCAAGTACCTCGCTAATTGATAATGGTTATGACAAGCTCCCTGACCTAATTCTTGTAGTTTTAAATTAACTTTTTCAGATAATATTTCAAGTTTCCTTACAAAAGCATGTACGATGAGCCCTTTTTAAGATCTAAAATGCTATATTCAAGAGCCAAAGCAAACAAAACAGCAAGTGGAAAAGCTAAAAAAAGATGAATAACAAAGTAGATTGCTACTTGTATGATTTCATGCCTCTTTTTTATGATTTCAAAGTGAAGCTACTAAGACTTTAGAAGGAAGATCATAAAATAAATTCATTTATATGGATGTGGAAGTACTAAGCAAGATTTAGGGTGCACTAATCAGTGACCGACGCCAAAAATATCAAGAAAAGGTCTGGATAAAATGTACATATTTGTATTAAAGGTATCAATACCTTCCATAAACAGTAGTACCAAAATCTACACTACTCTCTATATCGACCCATATCTTCTTTCATTGGTCCTTCGTGTTCCTTCAGCAGTGGTAGATACACGTTCCCATGATGCTTGTGTCACAGAATTTCCATTGGAATCATCTCTTAGACGGTGGGCTCCTGGTCCGCTCACCTAATTTCGATAGGAAAGGAAAAGAAGAAACAATTGAAACTTACAAGACATCATAAACACTAAAATCAAGCACAGCAATAAGCAACTCACAGCATCCAAGCAAGCTGATAGAATAGTCATCCCAGGCAAGGCATAAAGACCATGCTACATGAAGACAAACGGCTTGAATAAGATGATGAGAAGAATGACCAGTTGACGGCTTACACAACAAAAGCTGTAATCAAAGAGAATACCAACCTGATGTTCTATGCGAGTCTTATAGATGAAACCTCCACAACAAGATACAACCGATAAGACAATTAAGCTGAAAATATAATGATTATGCATATATCAATCAACCAAAACAGTATAGGAGGATATATACATCATTAAATTTATTAACTTATATAATAGATGATAAAAATAGCGCAATGAAATCAACATACACACAAGAAATAACTCCCAATGTGGCCCACCCTCTTAAAGAATCACCTTCTCTCCCTTGTGTATAGCCTGCCACAAAATGAACAACTGGTTATTGATTTCATTAACAACAGGAATGAACAATCAACAACAACAATAACAACATCAAATCTTTATCCTACTATGTGGGATTGGCTACATGAATCCTTTTTCTTCGTTGTGTCATGTTAAGAGTCAAATTCTTATTTAAATGTAATAAAGAAAGCTCATTTCTAGTATTTTCAATGAGAATTAAGAAAAGAACATTGAATAATAACACAATTTGTTGGGCTGCAATACAATGGATCTAGGACAATTGCGGGTGTGGATTTCAACGAGAATGCAACTAATAATTGTAAAGTTGGGTAGTTAAAATTGAGAGAGGCAACCAGAAACTTTTTGCTAGAAGAACATGGCAATTTTATATTGAATGCACTTAATTTTATGCAACAAAACGAGGGAAGGTTAGACGGATAAATAAAAGGGTGAAAAACCTGTAATAAAATGTGAGGCAAAAAAGTAATAGAAAATATATAGCGTTAAATAGAACGGAGGGCTTAAAGAAATAATACAAAGGAGTTGGAATTATTTTAAAAATGTAACTAAATTAGAATAAACATTAAATGCACCACAGATAAAATGAATAGTAGATAAGAGTTCTTTTTGCAACCCCTCGCCAGGGAACTTTTATTATATCCAGTGAACGTACGCAGAGGAACGTTCAGTTTTAGGCAAAAAAAGCGTCTGTACCGAGTTTTTTGAAAAAACTCGGTACACCTCAGTACTCGGTACAGGCGCTTTTTTTGCCTAAAACCGAACGTTCCTCTGCGTACGTTCACTGGATAAAATAAAAGTTCCTCGCCAGGAGTGAAGTAAGACTTACATAAGAGGAATGTTGAAAGCATAAATAAATCAAAACCACATATACAAAAAGGAACTGATTACGAAATCAAAGACTAAATATACATTTTACAAGAATATGACTATCGAAAAAACAAAGAAACGAAATCTGAAAACCCCTGTTCATCTTTCAGCCCACGAGCACAATATCCATAATTGAGGGGATGAAGTAATGAATATATGAATTACCTGCCTACTGGATCAAACTTATGATTATCTTAAATCATATCTGAAAATAGTTTTTCTTATATTGTGTGAAAAATGGATAAATAAGTATATGATTAAAAAATATCTCTACATTTTGAGAAGTATTTGGGCTAAATTCCAATATGGTCCATATGTGGCCAATTTAGTCTCATAGTATTATATTTCACCCATTTAGTTCCATGACTATACAATATTAAACCAAGATGGTCTCTCAACAATTAAATTGGGATCAATTTTTTATAATTGAGAGACTAAATTGGAATTAATTTTACATCACAATTCCACATGAGGTTTAGATCAGTTTTGTGTGTATGATGGATTAAATTGGAGAAATATAATATTCTAGACTTAATTTACTACATTTGAATAATCGGGAGACTATTTTGAGATTAATTTGAACAAATCCACGTCAATAAGCAAAGAGAATTAATGGAAAATAAGCAATTAATTCAAACATGATTAAGAACAAACCACAAAATTTCGTAAGAGTGAACTCAATCGGATCATAACCATCAACCGGGATTGAGATGTAAATTTTATAAGGGCTATCATGAATTCTTTCACCTACAGAGAAAGAAAAAAACAAAAGAAAGAGAATTAAATCTATAAAAAGATGGAGCACGTTGACAAGAATATAACATATCATACATCTCCAATTGACTAAAAGCACAGAAGGGGATAAAGTCGTAGGGGCTACACCGCTTGCTGCTGAGCCTGACAATCTAATCTCTAGCCCTTCCTTTGGGCTAACCTGTATAAAGGGAGCAGGGGTAACTAGCTAATCGTCAAAATATTATACATAAATAGGAAATCAATATGCATTTACCTTATAAGATGGTTTACCAACAAGACTGGCAACAGAAGAAATTGCAGTTAAATAAAGAGGTACTTGAGACTGGCCAGTTCCAAAACTGCAGATATGAATTTCAAGATAAGAATGAAGACATGAACCAAAATTTTGATATCAAAAGGTGCTTAGTAATGATACAAAATCCTTTCATGCAAAGTAATTAAAGGATTTATGCACTATGTCAACTCAGCCATCACAGCTCAATGTTCTTATTTAGTATTTAGAGTAAGCAGTGGAGGAAAATTCACAAAAATTGCTAATTGTAGGACCGTGACATGATTTAAAATTATGAAATTTGAGGCTAACCTCAATGCTTTTTCGCCAAATTTGCAATGAGGCTTAAGCCACATTGGGTGCTATATGAGATGAATGCCTCACATGACCTGAGGCACACTACAAGATGTGCCTCACCTTAGTTTTGGTGAGGTGTGCACAATTTAGGGGGATAAATGTATATTTTTCTTCAAAAATAAATACATGCGAGTAAACTTAATAAAACACTTCTATTTACCCAAATAATACTCACACATGCATTCAGTCTCATAGGATAGCCATCACCCAAGCAGCTCTCCTCTCATGTAATCCCTCCTCTGCTCCTCACACATGCTGCCACCTCCTCCGTGCCAAGTCTACTTTTTCCACAAGGAACTCTTACTTTGATGTTTATATAATACTTCTTACTTCATAATTATATATATATATATATACATATGTATGTATATATATATACATATGTATGTATATATATATACATATGTATGTATACATGTGTGTATGTATACATATATTTCATGATTAATCGAGTACATCGATGAAAGCAACAAATAAATATGCTGCTTATCAAAGCATTGGGCACCTCGATTGCCATCAAAATGGCTCAAAACTTTATCCGATCGTGAAATAGATCACACTAATGCACTCAGACATCAGATTTGCTAAGGAAGAGTCATTTGTGCATAACTTAATTGAAAATGAAGACAATCATGATTGTCAGCAAGCACAAAGTGGCATAAAATATCCAAATGACATCCGATCATCAAACGGACATCGTTCATGTGTGCAAAATATCAAATTTACCAAAGAAGGGGCCCCTCGTAATTGAATAGAACGAAGTTGATCGAAATCGATAGAGAACGGATGAACCATTGTGCGATGTTGCCCAAACATCGTCAGTTTGCAAAAAGGACTTTGTCGTTATGTTTATAATGTCAAATTCATATAAAAAAGGCTGTAATATTGCCCAGGACATTGCACAATGCAAAAATATGAAATTAGCATGGATTTCAAGGTAACACTGCACGAAACTGTTTAAATGGCATCCCGATCACGAAGTGGACTTCAACGTTGCACTCAGAATATTAAAATTACCATAGGAATGACCCCTCGCAATTGCATTAAGCGAAGGTGATCAAAATCAACGGGCTACGGACAAAATGTTGTGTAACGTTATCCGAACGCCGCCCGTTCGGAAAACAGACTTCATCGTTGCATCCAGAACATCGAAAAATATCTAGAAATGGATATATAATATTGCCCGGGTCCATACGTTAGTGAAGACTTATAATACAGCCCCGAAGCTAGCCTCCGGTATGTCTTCTGCACGCCCAAATGCCCCCTAACAGCGCTTCCATGAAACTCCTGGAGTAAGTTTGGGATGTGGATCGAGGTCCAGGACATCACCAACATTCCTTGATATAGCAGTATGTCCCCCTCCAATGAGTACCCCGGGTGACTACCCTCTTCCTTCAGTAAATCTGACATGATCTTCCCCAAATCCTCGTCTCTAGCACTTTCTTCTCTGATGGCCTCCTAGTCAAGCATCAAAGAAACATATAGTGCCACTGTCTGCAGCTCCCCCATACATCTGGACAAGGCATATGCCGCCTTGTTCTCCACTCCTGGCCTATACTAAATCTCAAAATTGTATCCCAGCAACTTAGACAGACACCTCTGAAGCTCCTCTGTCACCATCCGTTATTCCAACAAGTATTTTAAGCTCCGTTGATCTGTCCTAACAATGAAATGCCTCTCAAGTGGTAGGGCCGCCACTTCTGGATGGCCAAAATACTGGCCATTAATTCTCTCTCATAGACTGACTTCAGCCTGGCTCTAGCAGTCAACACCTAGCTAAAATAGGCAATGGGCCTACGACTCTACATAAGCACTGCACCCAACCCGTATCCGAATGCATCTGTCTCCACAATGAAGATTTGAGTGAAATCTGGTAAAGCTATGACCGGTATCGTAATCATCGCCTTCTTCAAGCTCTCAAATGCTGATGTGGCCGCCTTCCCCCATAGGAAATCGTCCTTCTTCAACTGCTCAGTAAGTGGTCATGCTATGGTATTGTATCCATTTACAAACCTTCTGTAGTAACCTATTAGCCTTAGGAATCCCCTCAGCTCCTTCAGATTTTTAGGCACTTGCCACTTTAGCATTGCCTCAATTTTGGACTGATATGCTGTCACCCCTTCTTTTGATAAAACATGGCCCAAGTACTCTACATTGACATTTGAGAAGCAACACTTCTTCAAGTTGGCCCTCAGTTGGTGCTCCTGCAGCACCTCTAACACCTTATTCAAATGCTCCCAGTGCTCCTCCTCTGTCCTGCTATAAACTAAGATGTCATCAAAGAATTACAATACAAATCATCTGAGATAAGGTTTGAAAACCTTATTCATAAGTGCCTGGAAAGTAGCTGGAGCATTGGTGATGCCAAAAGTTATCACAAGAACTCATAGTGTCCCTCATGAGTTCTAAATGCCGTATTTGGTACATCCTCCTTCATCCGGATCTGATGGTATCCTGATTTCAAGTCTATATTGATGAATCACTCAATTCATCTAACATCTCATCAATAACTGATATAGGAAACTTGTCATGTGCAATTTCCTTATTGAGCGCTCTGTAGTCCACACAAAATCGTCAGCTGTCATCCTTCTTCTTCAGCAATAGAACTAGACTAGAGAAGGGACTGATGCTGGGTCTGATGATTTCTGCCTCCAACATCTCTCTAATCAATTTTTCGATTTCATCTTTCTGGAACTGAGGATAGCGATAAGGTCGTAAATTGATGGGTTACCATTCCTCAACATGATGGCATGCTCCTACTCCCTCTGCGGTGGCAATCCCTGAGATGACTGAAACACCTCTTGGAATTGCTGAATCAACGGTTGTATGGAGAGGGGTATGCCCCCTCCCTCTTCCAATCTAGCTCCCTCCAAATTGTGCAGCTCCACCAAATATTTTCCGCCTACCAACTATATATACCTCACCATAGTTTTAAGAGAAACCATGAATTTGGATAGCTCTGCATCTCCCTTAATCACCATCTTCCTTCCATCTACCATCAACTCCATCGTGAATGCTCCCCAATTCACTTTGGTGTCTCCCAAAGTCTGCAGTCATTTCATCCCCAAGATGACATCTGTAATCTCACACTCCAGTGAAAGAAAATCTTCCCTCACCTGAATCCCCTGGATAGTCAGCAACAATTCTCTGCAAATCCCCTGGCCTTTCTCCATCTTCCCTGTACCCATCATCACTCCATAACAACTGGTATCCACCAATCTCACTCCCAATTGGTCAACGCCCTGCTATCAATCAACACCACCACCTCCCTGTCCTCTATCTCCCCCTTCACCTTCATGGTATGATTCGTATTGAATCCTACCACTGAGTTTAGGGAAACCCCAGCCAGATCTAAATGCAGCTTCTCCTTGATCTCCTCCTCTGTCTCCTCCTCACCCCTCAATTTCCTCGTCATCACAGACGGTGAGAATCTGAAGAGTTCGATCCTTGTATCGATGCCCTGACATATAATTTTCATAGCACCTGAAGCACAACCCCTTAACCTTCTTCTCCTGCATCTCTTTTTTTGTCAACTGCTTGAAATTTCCCCCACCCCCTCCTATTGTCTTCTCCTTGGTGGCCTCCCAACTCCCTCCTATTGCATAACCTTTAGGTGCTAGATGGGTGGTCATCATCCTGTAAGTACGCCATGTGCTTCAATTCCTGACTCCCCTCTCAAAATTTCTCTAATTTTCAACCAGTTGGGCCAACTTCATGTCCTCCCCCAAGTCACGAGGCATCAGAACCTTCAATGATGCTCGAATCTCCGCCTTCAACCTCTTCATAAAATTTTTCTCCATTATCGTATCTGATAATCGCTCCACCTTGCTGGCTAGGTGTTCAAATCGCTCCCGGTAGTCTGCTACTGATCCCTCGTGCGTCAGAGCAAATAATTGCTCATAGAAATCTCCTCCCCGGTCAATTTAGAAACGTTCTATTATGCAGTCATTGAATTCCCTCCAGTTCTTGATATGCCTCATATGGTCTCTCCACTGATACCAAGACAGAGCTTTTCCTTCTAAGCACAAGCCCGTTACTGTCAGCTTCTCCTCCTCCGTCAGCCCATTGACGGTGAAGTATCGCTCCACCTTATAAATTCACTCATACGTATATTCTCTTTCAAATATGGGCATCTTCAACTACCTAACCTTCTGGTCGCCACCATTCCCCCTTATTCTTCCATAGTTTCCCCTCTCCCAAGCGCTAGGCCCTCCCCACATCCCCCGATCTTTCCTTGGCCGGCCATAGCCCAAACCCCCTTCGAAATTCCCCATTCTTTCTTTAAAATCAGCACCTCGGTTGCCATAGTATCCTTCTTGGCATTCCACATATCCACCTCTTCTTTCTTCCCTCTAGACACGCTCTAGATGGGGTCTTCTTCTTTCTCTTTTCATGATTTCCACCTCATCTTCCTCCCTACGAATTTTAGAATTCATGCTTTTCCCTTCCACCCCTTTTGCCACGGAAGTCGTCGTTTGGTTTTGAATTTCCAACATTTATTCATCATGTCCCGGAGATCGGCTACTTGTCCTTCCATGGAGGAAATTCTTTCCTCCACCATTGTTTTGATTTGATTCATCTCCTCTTCAAGCCTTTCGTCCAAAGCATCCACTTTCTTGGTCATCATCACAATTCGGAGTTTGTAGATTCACAAATTTTGGATTTGGGACTCCAAAAACAACAACTTTCCTCTTTTACGGGCCAAGAATCACCGCTGAAATTCGCCGAAAACAGCCCTCCACCGGTCCCAAGACTTGCTCTGATACCAATTTGATAGGAAATACTTGAGTTTGCAAGTAATCCTATCAGATCTACTTGAGTTCGCAAGCAAACCTAACAATAATTGATAAAAACAACAAGAAAACGAAGAATTCGTGGTGGAAGAACAATCAAACGATAGCAAATCACATAGAAAACAAAGAAAATAAGAACAAAGCAAAGATACAAGAGATCCTCAATTCAAGATAAGGATCGTCTCTCCCAAATCTCTAGACAAGAGAGTCTAGAGCCCAAGTCGCCAAGAAACCCTAATTTTAATCAATCAAAACATAATCCCCCCCTAATCCTCTCATGCACTTTAATGCAAAAGCTTTCCTAATCTAATTTCCCTCCCAAGCCCAACGGCCCCCTCCTTTTTAATTTGAACTCAATCGGATGAGTGGGGCCCACCCATTGGACGAAAATTCTGAGAGGGGGCGGATTGTTTCTGCCTCCAGTAGAAGTGCTGAGTCGGCCCTTGGGCCGGCGTATCAGAAGGTAGACCTGATCAAGATCCCACGGTTCCGTCATTCTAGGAATATCGTAGGTTTCAATCTAGCAACACTAACAATCGTTGATCATAGTGTCCAGAAAATATAATTACCATGAGTTACCTCCTCTCAAGGACCCCGAGTAAACTAAAGTGGATAAGCGTGAGTTTAAATATTTTGATTTTGATTTTGGGTCGGAGCTTACAACTTTAATTAAAAATAGCCCATGTAACGAGTCTTACTGCTTCTATTAGAAGTAACCCATTTGGTTGGGAAGTTGGGTCTTGCCAATTTCATTGAAATTAGCATGTATAGCGTGTCTTACGACTTCCCTTGAAAATAGCCCATATAGCTTTAAAAGGTTTAGAGAAGTGGGTTTTACTGCTTCTATTAGAAGTAGTCTGTTAGTTTAAAAGGTTGTGTCTTACTACTTTCATTGAAAGTAGCCCATGTAGTAGGTTTTATGGCTTCTATTAAAGGTTGTTAAAGTTATCAGGGATGTATTATTTGTTTTAGGAAAGTTTTCCCTAACACCCTAATTAAAGTGAGATTTACGGCCTCTATTAGAGGTGGCTTGTATAGCGGGGTTAGGGGGGATTTACCGGGGTTTGAGCTGCGGATATTTAGCTTTACACCCTTCACTGCTTTGACACAAGCACCAGTGATTTTCATATAGTATTAACTTTGCTTTTGCTTTAGTACTTTATTTCCAGCACTTTGTTTTGCTTACAATTCTAATTTTCTTTCAATACTAGTTTTACCTGTAATGGTAGTTTTTTCTATTTTAGTCCTAGTTTTGTCTTAGTACGAGCTTATTTTAGTACATGTTTGTTTTAGTACTAGTTTATTTTAATACCTGCTTGTTTTAGTATCGATTTGTTTTAGTACTTGTTTGTTTTAATACAAGTTTTATTTATGACACCGAGCAAATGCCTTGTCTACTTACTTGCAGGTATTTGTGACTAGTAGTTATAGGAACTGGAGCTCGCAGCTGCAATCTTTACTAGGAGCTAGAGCTTGCCAGGAGTTGGAGGGGTTTAACTTCGAATTTTTTAAGCTTTTCTTTCTATTTGAGGTTTTTTTTTAAGTTTTAGGAGTTTGGTAATGTTATGTGTGAAATCTAATTATGTTGATCAATCTAGTTATTCTATTGTCTTGGACCTCAAAGCTTGTCGAGTATACTGGGGGTACGGGGGGTTTACCTCCTGCTTAGGTTCGAGTGCTTTGCGTACCCAAGCGCCCTAGTATTATATTCCCGAGTTCCCCAGCGCTGAACGACAGAGAGCAGAGCACCGCGGCAGTATAGATACGCTGCTGCAGTGATGCAAGACATAGATTTAAGTGCAGCAACGTTGTCAGACGAACTGGACAATTTAATTACTCGTTTTTCTAAAGGGTTGCGTCCCATTGGGGTTATTTTACTTGGCTTTCTCTTGTATTTTGAGTGTGAAGACAATGAAAACTATATGTAGGAAGAGAAGCAAGGAGAGAGTGCGAGAAAAGAGACATCTGTACTTATTTTTCCCAATTTTTATAGTGGATTTCTTGGTGTGGTGTGGTTCCGTGATTTTTTCCCTATTTTGAATTTTTCCATATTAAATCCTGATGTATTTTACTTTTTCGCAGCTTTTATTTTCTTACCAGTTTCATCATTGGGGTGTTTACTCATCTCCCCTAACAGGTACTAGTTAGTGTGAGTTGTACATAGTTTGTTTAATATGAACATTGATTTTTATGTTTCCTAATATTAATAAAAAATGCAAAAATTCACTAGCTAGAGTGGCTCTCCCCTCAATGTTTTTTCAACTTAAATTTTTTATTTTTTTGTTAGTTTAGTTGATTTAAAATTTAAATTTTAAATTAAAATTATTCACTCGGCTCATTAACTAAAATATATTTTAAAATTATTCAATTAATTTAATTTAATTATTAATTAAACTTAAGATTTGGTTGCTGAATTAATTTAATTAATTTTAAAGTCTCTCCGCAATCTTTCTAGTTTCCTAGGGTAATTTTGACAACCTCCAGGCATCCCTTCCCCAAGAGGGGAGGTCGGTAGGGCACTTTCCCTTTTGGGTCCGCTCGATCGGATCAAAATCAATAATCGAGGGCTTCGGGGGAGCAAATCGACCCCGATACTGATCTTCGAATCCTCCAATATAGCGATCAAGGTACTTCGATAATTTCTCGACATTTCAACCGCCTTTCTGCACCACCTCCCCACGAGGAAAAGTTAGGGAGGGCACTTGCCCTTTTATGTCTACTCAACCGAATCAAAATCGACGATCGAGGGCTTAGAGGGAAGGATCGATCCCAGAATTAGTCTTCGACTCCAATTTGGCAATCATGGCATTTTTCTTCTCTTTATTATTATTATTATTATTATTATTATTATTATTATTATTATTATTATTATTATTATTATTATTATTATTATTATTATTATTATTATTATTTATCATTATTATTATTATTATTATTATTATTATTATTATTTATTAATAATAATAACAATATACAACAAAACAATGCTTCTTCCTCACTCACGTTTCAAGAAGCAAAGAAAGGCGGGTCAAAGGGTGCATGAGATGGAGCCGCACGTATTAGTCGGGCCTGTGCTCTAGAATCAAAGGCCTAGGCACCTGAGTCGAACTAGTGCTCAGAAGGATTCGAGGTGGGTGTGCAGACGGAGGTCGGGAGATCAATCCGGCAAACCGTGCAGCTTGAAGGGACAACCGGAGTTCATACATGTGTGCTTAACAGATGGGAGGCAGAGGCCGGAAGGAAGTCGGTTCGGGCTTTGCTTCGTTCATAGGCGAGGAGGACAGGAGGCGGCAGATTCGGATGCAGACGCAAGAGGGGTTGCGGGATTGGTGCGGTCTAAGTGGGTTCGTCCGCATATGAGGCCATTAGAGGCGAGCTGAGCGTTGCCTGCTATCGAGCGGTTCGATCATGTGGGAAGAAATCGGGCGAAATATGAGAGGTTGATCCTTGTTCTCCTGGGTGAAGCCAAACGGGAGACTTGAGATTCATAGTAGGGAGCGGACAATCAAAAGCCAAGAAAACCAAATTTTGTGTAAATTTCTTTTGGTTTCTTCCGTTTTTTTTTTTATACGATTGAAACTGTTATTCACAATGCGCATGTTCAACTCAACAACATGTTGAGGTGCCGATGTGCTACAGATATTTTCCCCATTTTTTTTATTATTCAAACAAGATCCATACAATACAAAAACTCTTTCATTTTCAAAGATGATTATAGATCTTTAAGAATCAAGAGTATATTAAAAATGGACCTAATTGAGTCTCTCTAATTTCATGTATCTATGCGTCATTTACCCTTTAGATTTAATAACTTGCTTTATTTATGAGTTTGTTATTAGCATTCTTTCACTACATAATAAATTTTTAAAAAAATCGGTAAGCTTACAGCCCGACGCATAAATAGGTCAAATATTAAATTTCTACAACAGCATAAACTTTTCAACAAGGAGAAATAGGATTATATGGAAAATGCAAGGTAGGGGATTAACACAGATAGATCAAATATTAAGTTCAAAAATAGCGCAAACTTGTCAATAAATAGAAATAGGATTCTAGTGGAAAATGCCAGGTCGGAGATTAACAAAGAAGAAACCAGATTATAAATTGTATAGATGCTCAATTTTCTCACATAAGAAATGGACAAGTAAAATATCTCGTACCTGAATTCAGGATGAGGCTTTTCAAAACCTATCTGAGTCAATCCATTGTAAACCTACAATCAAATTGTCAAATAAGTCAGCATAACTAAAAGGTAAGCAAGCAAAAGGCAAAAAATTATACTTACTATTTCCCATGACCGAGGATGAAAACCGACAGTAAATCCTTCAAAGACTCGGGATTCGCGCTTGGCACATGGGATTGCAATTTCAACAATAACCCTAGTTCATAGAAGGGTAAATGTTACAGCAAGTAAGCTAATGAACATAAAAACTTTCAAATGAAAAAGCGCAATTTAAATTGAAAAAGAAAAAAATATAACACAGACAACTTAATAAATTGAAGAAAAAAAAAGAACTCTCACTAATATTACATAACTTATGAAACAAATCTTCTCATTGTGTCAACGAAAAATACATTTTAGAGCAATGACAATCAAAAGGAGAAACAAACTATGACAAACAAGTGGAAGGACAATGGAGTGAAACTACCTAAGAGCACCAACCCTAGCATGATCATGGATTGGCAAACAAAATAAAATTACATAGCGTTCAAAACACAAGGAAAAAAAAAACATAAAACGATAAATTTTGACTGCATCATATTAGTCTATCTTCAATTCTATTAATTTCTACAATATTATTCTTCAAACTCTTATTTATAATCACATCAACATCATTTCTAGTTTAAATCCTAATATATATTAATTTCATTAATTTGTCTGTAAAACAACTTATATTTCAAGATCATCTCCTAATTCTAGTTTCATGGACTAGCTTCTTTACTCACATTTGTCCCTTAATTTGCTTATTTAACACTATACCCAGGCATTGGTGCAGCGTCCCTTGTACATTTCTCATCGTATTCAAAACATACAATGAGCTTTCATAAAACACCCTACCATTTACACAATGTATTAAATGATTCATGTCATGATTGGTCGACAAGTTTTACGTTGGTTGTCAGCTACCTATCACAACCCTCCACTTTTCTCATCAAGGGCTTGGGACCGAGCAATTGCAATGTTAGATTTTGAGATCAATGTGGTTGAGGAAAATCAAAATCAAATCTTACCAAAAACTTTGGGACCAACGTGGTTGAGGAAAATTAGATTTCACACCAAACACTATATGCAGCCTTTTCATTATGATATAGTTGATGTTTGTGCAAATAAAAAAAAATACTGCAAGAACTAGGTCAATACTCCAAAACTTTAGTTCAATTAGCATTAGATGTATGACGTATAGACTAATAAATGGTGCATGCACTACAACGGAATTTATATTAGCAGAACCACAATTTAGTATTATAAAGACACAACCTACCCACCAAAGAAAACCCGGATGGTACAGTTTTCAAACCTGAAGAATGATAAAGCTTACATGGGGGCACATATACTTGGAGAAAGGGAACCTCTAAGGGATGGTGTATACATGTGGGCTTGGGCTTGAGTATGTATCAGGAGTAATCCGAAGCAATCAAAAAAGCTTTTGAAAGCGATTAGCATGCATCAAACAGTCCAAACTCACAGCATGAATGAGACTTTGATCACATAGAGCTGCAATTATCCAATGCTTGGAATAAGCTTGAAAGTGGGATAGGACTAATGATGATTATGATAATTATTTTAACTTCAACATTTGATGTCGAATAGTTTTTCCCATGTCCAATAAAATTGAACAGGTACCATAAACGCATGGGATGATTTCCATAACTAGAATTTTTATTTCAACATCAGTAAATAATAGAATCCAAGAACAGGCAAGGGCAAGAGCAAAAGCAGTGCATTCCTCAAGCCTCCCCCACCCCAACATCCCCCCCCCCATTATCAAAGATTAGCATTACATCCACCTCATTGACGTCGTGATTGGCCTCCTCATTAGTGGGCACCAAGATTCACCTCTACAATTAACACCTACATCCACCTCATAGACATTATGATTGACCTCCTCATTAGTGGGCACCAAGATTCGCTTCCTCTAAAATTAACACCGAGATCCGCCTCCCGACAAAGATTCACCCCTTGCTTGTCAAGACTCTTTCGACATAAAACGCAAGCAAGAATTGAAGAACTTTATCACCACAAGTTTCATCATCGTAAGTTGAGAATCTCTCTTCACTCCCTTATAGGTCAGTATAAACACAAATGTGCAAACTTCAAGTTATATCCACTGCAACCAACTAGCCGTTTTCATACAATTTAAAACAAAATGCTTGGCATGAATAAAATCTAGACCATGAAAGAAAAATCTTCAAAACAGTAATGCTTACAATTGGAATTTCACATTGGTTTAATAAAGCTGATAGATGCAACTTGAAAACAAATAAATCAAGCATAAATATGTAACAAAACAAAAATCACTGCAAACAACATAATATATAAAGGCATCAAGTAACATAAAAGAGCATAATATTAATTGAGCTGCTTAGCTTGAATATTGTGCCAAAGAAGTCTAGAGTGAACAACAACAAAAAAATCATCTATAGAGATACCTGCATTTTGATGCATCATAGGATATGTTGCAAATGCAACCAAATTCACCTGCAAAAGTAAACGAATTGCAATCATACGAGAACATATGAAACCATGTCCAAATTACTGTGTAAGCAACCCATGTTTCTCTTCATCAGAGAGGCCAATTAGATTATATTCAACTGGAATAATAGTGTCCCTCAACATAAAAAATGATGAGTCCATAATGAAAATCTATTAAAAGGGTCTTGCATGATCGACAAATTATGATACAAATCAGGAATCAATTTTTTTTGAAATATTGCATGGAGGCAGACGGATCCCAAGCCAAACCAAATCCACGCAATCTTGGCTATCCAGCTATTTTCCCACCAAACAACCTGAGGGATAGGGTACAAAAGTACTGCACAATCCAAGCAAGGAAAAGACTGCCAAATGCCCCTAATCCCCTAGTTACTCATCTCCATAGAAAGGAGAAGAATATTATGTAGTTATTTCTCAATATTTGTGTTTATTGTTTTTCTTATTTCTCTCTTCCTGAGAGTTTTCACCTTTGTTCACTAATCGGTATTTGTATCCTCTACATAAAGTAACTTGTTTCTTCTCATTGGAATAATAATTACAAATCATTCTCATATCATGTTCAGAGCATGGACATCACCAACAAGCAAATAGATATACTTGCAATCTACAAGCTATTTCTCATATTTAATCACTAAAATAATTCCGATAGAAAATCACTTGGATTTATTCAACAGAAAGCTACGTCCCATAGTAATAGTCTGATAGGTACAAAATAACGACATACATCATCATTATTAAAGAACAAATGAAAATCCAGAATCGTTTAAAAAAGTATGAATTAAAAATTCCTCAAGCAGAAAGATATTTTACAAGGTAGAATTAGAATGTTATACCACACAACAGAAGAAAGAAAATGATACACTAAAAGGAAAGCAGATGCACACCTTTACATCCTCCACTTAAACAGCTTCCACAAATAATGTTTACCTGACATAGCGTGGCAAAAGATTAGATAACCAACCAAAATCATATGCATAAACTATACAGCAATATATTAACAAATCAAAGAGTTCTAAAATCAGATAAAATAATTCGAGTAAATCTACCTGAGCTGTGCGGCCTAATTTGTCAAATGTGTGTTCACAATTCATAAGATCTCCATTGTAAAATCCCTAAAAAGTTGAAGACAGTGAGCAAATGTTATAGAGATCAAATCATTGGTGCAGGACTGAAATGCTTAAGCAATGTTTTATAAGAATTTGCACGCTTCTTTGTTTGAGAGTAATATTAACTATTAAACTTTAATGATTTAAACAATGAAATAAATCGAGAGAGGGGAGAAACGAGCTTAGGCCAAGTTACACAACTAGAAGTTAGGATCATAAAATAATCAATAATTCAAAACATAGCATACATGAAAGATTTCTAACAAAAAATCCCTAAGTTAACAATGAGACTAGTTACTATGAAAAATAGATCCCTCAATCAACTCTCTAAATTACTAGGCTTAGTGGAGAGATTTGACACGATCTTAATGAATCAATTAAAGCCACAATTGAGAGCCATTAGGAAGATAGAAGATTTGGATGAAGAGTTTACCCAAAGGAAAAGGATGCGAGGCTCCGGTGTAGTTGTTTTGGGTGTTAATGATGAGTGGACAGCAACATAAACCTTCTAGATGTCTTTGGACAGCAACCCTGCAAATTTTGAAAGGTGGCAGCAAGCTTAGTCATGCTGGGAACTTTGGACAGCAACCAAGAGTGTTCTGGACAGCTATCCTGCTGGTCCAGGGAGTCTTGAACAGCAGTTATGATCCGGAAAAAACTTTTGGGCAGCAAGCAGCTTCTCTCCGGAGAGCTGGACAGCAATCTCCATTGCTGAACTTCCCTAGACAGAAAACTCCAGGTTGATTGGGCGCACTTTGGGAGGGAAAATCGTAGGGTATTAAAGGTCGGATTTGGAGGGAATGGAGTAAGGGTTAAATTCCAGACTTTGAATTTGAAATAGAAAGAAATCAAATTCAAATTGCTGAATTTAATTTCAAATAAGGGAAGGGAAAAGAAAAGTGCTCCTTGGCTTAGGGAATTAATTGGGGCTTCAAAGGAGGTAAGAATTTATTATGAAATAGGGAAAGGGGAGGATGGGGCCGGCGGCTTCAGGGGGGATTGGGGCTTGGGGAGGGAAATCAATTCTTAATTGATTTGAAAAATTAAATTAGGAAGGAACTAATTTAAATTCAATTGGGATTAATTTTAGGAACTTTCCTAAAATAGGAAAATAGAGATTTCTATTTTAGGAAACCAATTCAAATTCAAAAATTATTTTGAATATGACTTAAGACTTCTTCCTAAAATGAAAAGGCCAAATTTCGAAGGGTTTTTAATTTTGGAGGCAAGGAAATTAGGATTGGGTGGCCGGCGGCTAGGGTTTGGGTTAGGATTAGGTGGGTGGGGTGGAGTTTAGGGTTGTTTAGCCGTGGGTTTAGAGAAGGGGTTCTAGGTGACCGGCAGCTAGGAGGAGGTGGAGGTGGGTTGTTGGCCGGCAGTTAGGAAAGGTTTGCTTGGGAGGGTCAGCAACTAGAAGGGCTGGAGGGGTTTTCTTGGCCGGCGACTAGGAGGACTTTGGTGAGGAGGCCTGCAGGTCAAGGGAGAAAGAGGAGGGGAGAAAGGGAGATGAAAGTAACCACGAGCCCGGACGCTTCCTGCGGCTGGTGGGTGATCCGATTCCCTCACCTAGGGATTTCTCTCCAAAGCTGTCAAGCTCTCACAAAACTCAATGGCTGAAATTTTTCATAATAATCTTCATTAGCCTCCACGAAGAAGGTGGCCTTTAAATAGCCTCATTACAATGAAAGAAAATAAAAGACCAACTTGTCCCTAGGGCTTACACATGACTAGGCCTTCAAATGAGGATATAAATGGAAAATGCAATAATAACTCATAACACAAAATAAACTAATACAAATAATTATAATACAATGAAGATAAAAAATAAAGCAGCGCAATCAAGGCCGTAGATTGACGGCCACGTCTCTGGTAGATCCTCCAAGGTCGGATGTCCTCATGAATCATACTTCTAAGCATGCCATTCCAACCAGTTTTTTTCTCTTAAACTGAGTCCAAACGGGCAAAGTTACTTTTGAAGAACATAATGAAAGATATAGATACTGAGCATAAGCAAAATGGCAGTGCACTCAACATTAACATGCACGCACCCTTGTATATTTATGTTCGCTGCAGAGTGAATTCACTTATTCAACTTTAATGGATATATGACATAAAAAGAAGCAATATTTGCATTACATGCGCTTTTATCAAGGCTATCGAACCAAAATTTTTAACATGTAATCCAATTAAATTTGTTTAATGCTGAGATCGCTCATCTCTCTCTCATTTCCCTCAATTGTATTGGTTTCATCCTATTGAACGCCATTATGTTTAGCACTCATAAATACATTATGCAGTAGTGATGAACATGTTATCCCAACTTCTAATGGAATCACTGAAATTCAAGCAATCCCATAATTTTAGACAAATCTTCACTCAAGCTTATGCAAAAGAAGTAAATAAACAAGCAGTTTAATACTCTGATCATGCTCAAACTTGAGTCAAACTTGATAAATAAATGAACAAATTTGAACAAAACATTACTAAGCTCGTTTTAGAAGTACTTTATAGTCCTGAGTAAAGTTTTTTAGTGTGAAATTTCTACTCCCATGACTCATGCAGCCAGTGAATCAACATGCAGTCAATCATGCCAACGTTAGTTGTTACCAGCGTGTAGCAGCGCATGGTGTTGCCTCTCGACCCTGAACACGCTTCTTGCAAGTCCACTAGTTGACTCCCTGCAATTGCTCCACCTAATGGAAAGCTCACCAGCTATATGATAGGAAGTACTTATGTCACAAGTATTCCTATCCCAAATCAGTAAAAACCCATAGTAAAACTGCTGTCTACAGAAAGAAAACAGCGAGAAACAGGGAGAAATTGAGAGAAAACACAAGTAAAGACTTGTATTCCACTAGATGCAAAGCAAAATAATCAAGATACAATTGTTCTTCGATCCGAGAGGAAGAACGTACTCTCCACAATCTCCGGCGATGCCAAGAGCCCAAAACGAACCCTAGATCTCAAATGAAAATTCAAAATTCAAGATGAGGAGCCAATCCCCCCAATCCCCTAATTATACAAATTAATCATAAAGGACAATAATGGACTTCCTAAAACAGCCACTAATTCAAAAAATTTCCCTCCCACCATGCGTTTTAGCCCCTGTTTGGGCCCACCGACTCCCGCTCCTCCTCTGCATTTTCCTCCTGTTTCCGCCCGACTCTGAGCCGTCGGGTGTAGAACTGAACCGGTCCAGGCGTAACATTACTCCCCTCCCAAAAACTCACCTTGTCCTCAAGGTGAAAGGAGGGGAATTGCTCTTTCACTCTTTCAAACGGCTTCTAAGTCGCATCGAACTCCGGGGGGTCCTTCCATTGAATCAACATTTCCTTGTTGCCTTCTTGATCTGATCTTACCCCCATAAGCTCTAGGGGATCCAATATCACTTCCCAATCCTCTGTCATTGTTGCTGGTAATTCGGTGCTAATTGCATGCTCCCCGAGGGCTCTCCTCAGCTGTGACACATGGAACACCGGATGTATAGTAGCGTAGGGAGGTAACTTAAGACGATATGCTACTGCTCCAACCTTCCCCAAGATCTCATAGGGGCCAAAGTATCTCGAGGGCAGTCTCTCGTTCCTCCTGCTAGCCACGGATCTCTATCTGTAGGTTCTTAGCTTCAAAAATACTTTCTCCCCCACTTCATATTGTATGTCTCTTCTGTGGGTATCTGCTCGCTTCTTCATTATTTGTTGTACCCTCTCCAGATGTTTCTTTAACTCTTCCAACACCTGGTCCCTCTCCTCTAAGTATTGTTCAACTGAAGAGACAGGTGTGTGTCCCTTCTCATCTGGGATGCCGAATGGTACGAAGTGTTATACCAGTACTCCGCCCACGGCAACCATTTAGCCCATTTCCTGGGTGTTTCAGAGGCAAAACACCTCAAATAAGTCTCCAAACTCCGGTTGACCACTTCTGTTTGTCCATCTGTCTGTGGGTGGTACGCGGTGCTCCTCTTGAGAGTTGTGCCCTGCATTCTGAACAGTTCTCTCCAAAACTGACTGAGGAACACTTTGTCTCTGTCCGACACAATAGATTCTGGAATCCCGTGTAATCGAACCACTTCCCTGATAAATGCTGCCGCCACTGACACTGCGGTGTAAGGATGTCGTAGGAGGATAAAATGTGCATATTTACTGAGTCGATCCACCACAACAAAGATAACTGTGAACCCTTCTGAACGTGGTAGGCCGTCAATAAAATCCATAGACACTTCCTCCCATACTCTGTTTGGAAGTGCTAATGGTTGGAGCAGTCCCCCTGGTGCCATGGCCATGTATTTATTTCTCTGACACACCTCACACCTTGCCACCATCTCCTCAACATCCTTATACATCCCCTTCCAGTAGAGCTCCGATGCCAACCTCCTATATGTCTTATGTACTCCTGAATGACCCCCAACTGCGCTGCCGTGGAATTCCTGCAATATGTGAGGGGTCGATAGCACCTGACTGAAATATGCTATAGGCCTGTGATTCTGCATCAATACTGCTCCTAAGCCATATCCTGATGCATCGGTCTCTACCACGAATACCAAGCTGAAATCTGGGAGCGCTAGAACTGGTATAGTGGTCATGGCTTTCTTCAACCTTTCGAAGGCCTGGGTCGCTGCATCACCCCAGGAGAAGTTGTCTTTCTTCAACTGCTCCGTCAATGGCCAAGCGATGGAACTGTACCCCTTCAAAAACCTCCTATAGTATCCCGTCAGTCCCAAGAAACCTCTCAACCCCCTGATGTTCTTGGGTATGGGTCATTTCTGCATTGCTTCAATTTTGAACTGGTCAGCTGCAACTCCCTCTTGAGACACTACATGTCCCAAATATTCCACCCTTGATTGGGAGAAACTGCACTTCTTTAAGTTAGCTCTCAGCTTATGTGCCTGTAGGATCCCCAAAACCTCCTTTAGATGCTCTAAATGTTCCTCCTCGGTCTGGCTGTACACCAAAATGTCATCAAAGAAGACTAGCACAAACTTCCTCAAGTGTTGCCTGAACACCCTGTTC